ATATATATACTCGTTTATATGAATAATATATGTAATGTTTAAAAACTGCATATCACTACACTTGACATTACCCATCTCATAACATTGCCTGGGTAAATATTTATCCCTACTGTCTGTACATTAACCATCCTAAATATATTTGTAATACTCTAACACTCACAGTTCGTTACTTGCAGGCAAAACAAATGCAATACCAAGTTTACCATCTCATCCACACACTATTCTCATGAGCTCTCAAGAGAGAGTTCTACCAATGACCTGATCTCAACTTACTATTTCTAACCTTTTATCTAAGACAAATATATTCATTACTTCTTTTAACCTTCATCTGTTATCGAAAGAATTATTAAAAAATACACACAAGAAATTCTCCCAGTGAAACATATCAATTTCAACACTTACAGCACTCGATAAATCACTTTAATATGCTCAGAAAAACAAATTTAACGGATAACTGCGAAGAAAATAAAATTTATCTTGACCTAACAACATTCGAACTTTATTTCAAACATAAGAGCTAATAATAAAGCAAGAATCATAAACTGCAAAGCAGAGACGAATGAATATTCGCCATTAAACTGATGAATTTTTTCACACGGATTTGAGTGAAAGTTTAAATCCTTTAACTGGGCAAGAAAGTTCCGCAATGGTTACATTCACAATCCCATCGACTTAAAAACTGCAAATGATGACCTCGAGTGCTCACAAAATAAACAGCTAAGTGGTGAGAAACAAATATTGAGCATTTTCAAAAAATACATTTCCCCATCCTGAGTAGTTTTTTGATTCTGTCGATGTATATGTGTTATTTTTTCAAACGTTTCCATTCTTTCTCACGACGGTCCCTTCCTCATTTTATCTGATTATAAGTTTTGAGTGCTCATTTACAAAGATATAATTTGCAAACGTAGAATATTGTGAACTTCTATCGTAATCACATTCCGACAATCTTTCTCTACTTCCTGTAAGATGGTCTACGAAAACAGCGCTTACTATATACTTTCAAACTAACTATTAATAAATAGAAATAAGGAACACTTATTCAATGCAAGATAAAAAATTTTATGTGACAAAACCTCTTTAAATGAAAAATCTCATAAAGGAACATCATGGAATAAAAAACATAAAGAGTGAGAATTATTTGCAATATTGGAATAGCTCAAAACTACGAGCAGTAAAAGCTGATGTTACCATGACATACGTACGTGAAATATAAAAAAGCATGCATAACCCAAAAATAGGTGTTTTTTCTCAGCGATTTTCACAGCTAACAAAAAAGTGCAAGAAAGTAGATTTGAAATGATTCAACCTTCCTGTGGATAATAAGTATTCACTTGCTTAAAAGTCATTTCCACAACCAAAGTCTACATAGCTGCGATGTAAAATGAAATGCTTTTGGAAGAGACTACAAATAATTTACTTACCAATTTAACAGCACACGTAACTTCTGATTCTTTATTAAATATTAAATTTGCTTGCAAAGGCATCATTGCCTGAAGGTTAAAAAATATACTAAAATCAAAATATATATATTTTTTGGAACAAATCACGAAACAGCATAATTCTTAATAGCGAGAATTTTACAATGACTGAATTCATTGAGAAACAACGAAATATATCTTTACAAACACGTGAATATTTATTTTCAAAATGCATGTAGGCTTTGAATGCATACGTTAAACGACATGTAAATCTCTTATTCCAACTGGATAAACTATTTTTTTTAATATTTTATTTCAACTTTGAAACACAAAAGAAGAAATTAGTCTTCATGCAAAAATTTTAGCAGAGATTTTTTTAGCGTGCATATCAAGATCGGGTATGAGTTCATAGTTGAAAACCTTCGAAAGTATGAAATATGAAATGAAACATGCTTAGAACATGCGAAGACATACTTTTAAAGGATAGAGTTAATTAAAAAAAAGTGTTAGCAACTACCAAATTCTAAAAAATGATTAAACCTTTTCGATTATTCCAATACTTTTTCAAAATGAAAAAGTATTAAGTTTATGCGTTATAATTACATAGCAACACTTTTTTGATAATGAAAAAAATTTCCAGAGTGAGACTGTACCAAATTTCTAAACTTGTTCAGTCACAATCCTAAATTATACTTTTCATTACTATTGACAAACAAATTAAATTCTTACGTAATAAAAATTGCTTGATTTTAACATATTTTCAGATAGTATCAGTATGCAATATACTTTCCCAGTAAACTGCGACAAAAGTTTACGACTGCTACTAATGGTTACATATGGTGGCAAAAATCCAAGTTCTTGACGAATTCGTGGACTTTTTATATGCGGTCTCTTTCTGGCTGTTTTAGGAAAGTAGTTGACATCTGTGCGAGAGTAATTAGAATATGTAGTCAAATATTTAGCCTCGGTATTGATTTCTAAAGTGATTGTAACAGAATGTAGCAATTTCTCAGGTAGTTAAGAGCAGAAGAAGTTTCGGAAGTTAATATGCAGAATGCAAACTGTAATGGGACAAATTTCGTATTGTTATTGCTAACATTTACTGTAAAGTGCTAACAATCGTGAATTAAGAACTTTGTATCTCACTTGTTGCTTACTTTCCTTCCATTTCACACTGATATAATGTGCTAGCACTTGTAACATTTTGCATTTCATGAAGTAATGAAAATAGCTATAATTTTATCTTCAGATGGAGTCAGGTAAAATTTTGTGATGTTTGGCAGTACTTTTACAGTTGGCGATAACTCTGTCATTTCTGCAGCATTTGTTAGCTCACTGAGGGGTAGCAATTATTTCATAAAATCATACAAATTTGCATGATCTATACAGGGCATCAAGTGCTGTTTAATTTAATTACGATTGAAACTCAGCTTTCTGCAAGTACAGTGTTTCAAAAAACAAAAAACATGAACCGGCTCTTGTCTTGCTTGGTATTTGTAGCTTATAAATGATCTGATACTGCCTTTATCACAGAAAGTCTTTTCGTAAAAATAAAATATAACTGAAATCTTCAGTTAATAGTGGTAATCAAAAAGAAATTACGATCCTTTGATTTATTTGACAATCCGAATTTTCAGGAATAAATTTGAGCAATCATTTAGGTAGGAGTCTTGACAGTGATTGCAATTATAGCTTGTAATTGCGGAATCTCTTTAAAAATTGAAAAAAGTGGTAATTATTGGTATGGCTAAGTGGTTGGCTGATACATGGATCATTTAAATACAGATCTTTCTTTCTGGGCTCAAGCGCCGGTAGAATTTGAGCCTGATGACCCCAGTGTACACCCTGGAAAATCATTCATTTAAAGCCTTGCAATATATTTTTGGGCTTATTGCTTATTACATTTAAAACATGCAGTCATTACTGTAAATTAGATTTTTGATAAATCAGATATCAAATATTTAAACTAGAAAATAATTAGGATGTGTAATAATATCAGTATATACTGAAATCCACTGTAGATTTGTGATTCGTAAATTAAACGTACGCTGAAGACTCGAGATTTTTCTAACCAAGTTGACATTAGTACGACAGTCAAGCCAATTGTCGTATACATGTCTCGTGTCATTATTTGTCAAAATATTCTAAGGAACTACAGATGAATTATTAATCAGAAATGCATAACAAAATGTTTTGTAAAACTCTCTAAATTATAATGTTTGCTATTTTCTTAAAATATTTTAGTACAATTTTCCAAAAAGATAAAAGACAAAAAAAAATCTAATAAATCCGAAATCATAATTTAAAACTTATATTTGAATTTCTTGAGTTCAATTTTGATAATTAAGTTCAAACGAAAATTTTAATAAGGGTAAAAGTAATGTGGTTAGCTGACCTTAGCCTTTATCATTTCATAAAATATGTCTGGTGTCTGTTCCGACGACTTGTCCGGGTGGAATTTTCGAATCCGATGACGAAATTCATTCATGATTTGAATTCTCTGCAAAATTGTTTCTTAAAGAAAAGTACTAATTCTGATTTTATTGTGGCTTTTTTTGCACATAAAAATAACAACAATTTATGTAGACTTAATTAAACATCAATTCACAGACAGTTGAGTTTCTGTCACATCCAAGAACAGCATAATAGTCAGGATAGTCATGTGTGCATTTGTTTCTGAGAATGTTTATTTCGATAGATTCCATTAATATCATATAAACATGATGGGTATGAATAGTTTTAGACTTCGCATTACAATTAGTAAAGGTCTGAAAATAAGTGCATAAATTTAATTTTGCTACATTTCACTTTTTGTTCTTGAGAGTAAGTTTTGAAAAGAAGTATTTAAGAGAAGGGTTATCAACGTTACTTCACTATAGCACATGCATAGAAAATGTGATTTGGAAAAGAAAATCGTTTATTGACAAAGAATCCAAGTCAGTAAATGCAAATAATTTAGATAATTTTGCTATCAGACGAAAAAAAAGATGAACAATAAATATCATTAATGAATAAAAATAACTACATTATTATGAAGCATTTGCTACTTTCAAATCAAAAATACAATAAACATAAAGGCTCAGTAGAAAGGATATTAAAGATTCATATTATGTGATTCATAAGATCATATGATTAGAAAGTTTGAATGGACTAGAAAGAGTACATTTGATAGCATTTTACTTGAAAGGACAAAGAAAAACAAAAAACCAAAGTAGTCTATGCGACGATTTCATTGATTGTCCGTTAGCTATTGCCTCTAGCAAATTGGAAGGTTTTTGGCTAAAAAGTCTTGTCAAAATTAGGCATAGGCTTAGGCTTCGTTAGTTAATGCAGCGGGCGTGAGCAAATCACAAGAAAATGTAATATAAATAAATTTACGCGTGTAAGTAAGAAATGGATATGCGATTGACTGCAGCGTATAATAAGCATAAGGAAAAGAAGTAGAAAATTTTGTCGTTGAAAATGCTACTACTAGGCCAATAATTTCCAATTCAATAACGATCTTTATTCAGTCTTTTTCTCTCATCTTTTTTCTCTCTTTACTTTTTTCTAGCGCAAATATTAGCCAACGAACACCTTAGTGTACTTATCTTACCTCATTTTTGCATATATTTATCAATCTAGTTTTTATTTCGTAGACAAAGTGAGATAGATATATATATGATTGATTAAGGGTCAGTGTTGTTTTAAAAATTGCTGTCTTCTCACTTCACTTATCCATGCTTCTCGTCTTCACATTCTTCTTCTTTTCATTCACTTTTAAACTGATAAATATATCTATCTATCTATCTATCTATCTATCTATCTATTTATCTATCTATCTATCTATCTATCTATTTCAAGCGTTTAACTATTATGTCTAGTTTCATATTTAGTCTTTACTACTTCATCTTCAGAAAATAAGTGCTATTATTTTTCACTTATCATCAAATATGAGTTTGTACAATGTCAATTATAAAGCCAAATAATTGAACCCAAATGCTTGAAAGCACTTTTTTTGTTAACTGCGCGCTCACAGTCTTTATTTGCTTTCTGTTGAGATTGACAGGTATTTAGAAAATTATTCATAGTTTTCTCATCTATAAAAATATCATTGATGAATAATTCTTCTACTAATAATGATATTGTTTTTCAAATAATTAACCAAACATATTATTACCTTTAAAATTTTTACTGTTGTCGCTATCATTATTCTCATATTGATATAATATAAATAACACTAATAATTTTTTTGATCAGTATGTTTCACATAGGCGCTGTTATCGTCATATACTAAGGAAGAAAATTTATTTCCATTCAGCCTAGAAAAGTATAAATTATTTTGCATTCATTGTTTTATTTCCCTATGAAATTATGAAAAGAATACATTATTGTGCATCTCATCTTAGATCATCTTATTTGTACAATTTATTCATCAAATACTAATACAATCTGACCATTATTCTTTATCATAACTGATGCTATTGCACATAATATGCAAAATAGATGCACACAACTTACAAACTGTTCCCAAATACTATGTTAATTAGGAGCGTATCTTTCAGAATTTCGCTACTGATTATTAATATAAAGTAGTTTCTGTTACTAATAAAATTTGACATTAAAACATTACCAAATATGGATATTAAAGTATAGTTTTTATTTGATTCTGTAAATTAATAGATATCCTATCTATCAATCTTGTTCTAATTAGTCTTTATTTATGACATAATTTTTGCAGTATTTAATTATTCAAACGATTAGCTAGTACAGTAGCTAAACAAGTTAATACTATCAGTAGTAACTCATTGGTTTGTTATTAAGTTTTAGTCATATGATCAACTATTCTTCAAATAGAGCATTTTTATTTCTTTAAATATGATCATCCGACCGCTCAATCAATTTATAAATTTCACAGAAATATTAAGTCAAAAAAATTAATTCGTAATAAAACCATCAGCATTTTGCTTCAAACTGTAAAAATGTGGGCTGATACAAAACTATATTTGTGAAGGAAATTAGATTTCGCAGTACAGAAAGTTAAATTGCATGCATCAGTGGAAGATTTTGTGTCACATGTCAAGATTTTGATTCGAAAATGTGCTACCAGGCTCATTTGTTCCGTCAAAAAACTTTAAGTCATATGTTTTGCATGAAAGGAACAGCAGCAGTTACGACATATGTAATGATGTTTTGTTTTATGATAAGAATTATTTTGACCTTTTTGTTTTTGAATCCATTCTTGCTAACATATGTTTTTGTATAACCATTCTACTTCATGAAAATCACCGCGTACTGAAATTTTATTTTAGGTCACTTCAAGTATATCTTTTTCAATTTCATGTGTTTTTTATTGTTGGACCAACGAAGAAATAGTCAAAAAAGCATTAAAAGAAATATTAGAGAATTATGTTCATAATGTAATCTACATCATAAAACTTGGAAAATCTTTCCAGCAAGTTCTGTTGTGAAAGGGACATGACCTTTTAATATTAGTGAATGAGATTTGCAGTTGTTTAATAACAAAATGTAATCACATAAAAGTCAGCTATGCTGTTTCAATCCTTTAGATTCGATTTGCTGAATAAATAGCTATGTTTATTTATGAAGTTGTAGAATTTATAGAAACTAGGCTGTAATCTTCATAAAGGAATAGAAAGTTAAGATAGATATATAGCAGAGAGCACAATGTCAACAGAACTTGCTAATTTTCGTTATTTAGTAAGCTTTGGGAGTGAATTATTTTTGAGTTACACATGTTAAAACTATATTTTTGTGACCTTTCATTACAACCATCGTAAAAGCAAATTAAATAACTAATTTGTTTTTCAACAGTAATGAAATAACTAAAATTCTGTTGAAGGCTCGAATTTTCGCAATTTTTCGTACCAGATATTTCTTTTCATTTTGCCATAGCTTTTATAAATTGTTTGCTCAACAAAGTATTTAGATATTGATGCAAACGATATGTTAGCAAAATGTTGGCTAATAAACTATTTCATTTCAAAATTCGAGAAATAAAAAGTTATTTAAGATTCATAAATATGAATGAGATAAAAAATAAAAGCAAAAATAATTTATTTACTGAAGAATTCACTGGTGTTTTGATGGTTAGGTCACTTAAATCACAATTGGGTTGGAACATCAAACTCGTATCGTGGAATTATGATGTCATCTGAGTTTTTCTTTTCAATATGTAAATCCAAATTACTTTGTTCTGCTCTGATTAAAATTAGTAATCATAGATGTTGTGTAAATGGTTTTAAGTATGCAAACATGACTGAAATAGTTAGAATTGAACAGTTTGCTATCAGATAGTTTTTGTCTGCATAAGCCATCAACAAATTGTCAGTCTTCTCTATTGTTGATTTTTCAAAAAATTAATTACTACAAACCTCATCATTTTTAGTTTAGAAAACCTGAATTTTCCATATTTCCTATGATTCAATCTATTTGGTCTTAAATTTTAACTCAATACTCACTGCAGGTGCTTAAGCAAGCTCACTAGTGTAAAAAATATGCTCGAGTTGTTCTGAATATCAAAAAGCTTTCAAAAGTGTAGAATGATATATTTCTCTGCACCGTTGATGAAAACGAAGAACTGCTTACTTTGAGGATGAAATGGTCTTATTTCAAATGGATTCAGTAACTGAAAGTATGTGATTACATTTGTTATGGAGTGTTAGAGAAGATTTTTTATGCATTTGCAAAGAAATTTTTCTAAAGATTATTAATTATGAGTAGTTTTTTAAGCATTAGAAATTCCAGAAGCGCATAATTTACAATTCTATTTCAATATCTGCAGGTTTTGATTCAAAAAAGGAAAAGTTTGCATATAAATGGCAAATTTTTTCATGAAAAATATTTTCACACTTTTTTTCTATTATGAAAGTAACGAATAATATAACTAAGTGATTTGGTGCGCATTAAATTGTCAAGGTATTTAAGACACTGCAATAAATTTGCATTTAGATATCTTTAGATTCAATGACTAGTTCAAATAAAATTTCTAACAACGCATTTTACAGCTAAGTAGATTACCGTACTGCTATTTCGACACATTAAGTGAAAATAATGTCATGAAATCAAGCAATAAATAAGAATTGATAAACTATACTGTTATATTTACAAATAATACAAAGCCTAGGAGCAAATTAACGCTTATCAACGTTTTTTAGAGCACAATTCATTGCTTTAAAATTAATATCAATTTGCATGTTCGAAAGGGTACATATCTACAGTGATTAATGATGTTTATAATATAAAATGCTGATTTAATGTATTTGGAGCGACTATTCTTTATATCTTAACACTCTAATTTACAGTAAAAAAAATGTGCATATAAATTTAGCTGCGCTACTTGCATCATCACGAGTTATACGCAGTAAAAAAAGGTTTATGGAATATGTTACTGGGATTACGAACCAAATTTGTATCTTGGCTGTTGCGGATTCCGTACACGAGATTGTTCTAGAGCAGTACTGTCACAAGCTATGTACTGCCATCAGTACTGTTGTGGAAGATGAATTAGACTTCAAGTACGGAATTCCCGTGGTAATTGAAGAATACTGCTCTGAACTGACTATTGGCATACTAAAATCTGCCTACAAAAATGCTCTGAAACCACTCAGTCATCGCAACCTATATAAAACTTCGGTTGACAACTGCAAAAACCATATTAGCGAAATACTGCAGGTTTCTACTGGAAACTTAAATGAATCGGCTTCAAACCATTCGTTCCAGTCACTGAAAAGTTCTGTCAGTCAAAAATCAACATCGAGTCATGATTCAGGTTAAATATTTATATGATTTGATGTTAAAGCTTCTGACATAGCAAAAACACTTCCAAAGAGCATGAAATAAACTCAGCTACTACTTTCAAAATTTTAAATGAGTAACATGAATCAATGCCATAATAGTTTTCAAATTCCAGTGATATTATAGAATCTGTTCAACACAGTGAAGAAGAATGTTGTTATGTACTTCTGGAAGAAAATGAAGGAAAGCTTTTACAAAAGCTGATCGCATTACAAAATTTTTCCGAGGAGCTCTGGATTCATATATTATTCCTAGTGCTGACTGACGTGATAGTTGAAAAGTTTGAAAATCTAAAAAGAAGCTCTGCAAATAACTGCATATCATCTGAAGCGATAGATACTGTGAAAAAAAACAAGTCTTTTCCAACTACGAACGAATACGAGTGTGATGAAAACAACAGCAGTGTTACGTCTGAACAATTTGAAAGTAACTACACTTTGTTAGACAATGAACAACATTATCAAAAGTGTGACGAATTAAAAACGATTTCAGATATCAGTACAAATCCATCGCATGCGGTATTATACAAAACAACACAACAGAGTGAATCAGGTTTCATGACAGAATCTGACTTAGAAAATACGGAGCTATTTTCGACCGAAAAGCAAAAATGTGATTCAGAGATATTCAGCTCTAGATGTTCATACGCACAGATATTCACCACCGTTTCAATCGAAAAATTGCATGCACATAATAGCGACACGAATGATAACTTGTTCAGATACACTAAAGACATTCGAAAAGCAAAATATGATCGTTCAGAAAATATACACACAGGAACAATCCAAGGTACATATTATTATGAAAAAAACAATAAAAAAAATAACAGAACTCATAGTGTGAATAAGTGGTCACTTTTAACACACAAAAATTCCAAGACTGTAACTAATAATGAGTTTTTATTGAATCTGTCCACTGGAGAGGACATGAAGTCTAGAAGCGAAAAAGTTTCCACTCATGACGATCCGAAAAGTCCTGTCGACAAAAAAGCCCAAACACTGAAAAGCTCCTCAACCTCGAAAGCTGGAAACCTCGACATTGACTTCGCAGTTCCGTCAGAAATAGAGGAAACCGTTGTTGGTTTAGAATTGAGGGAAATGTATTCGAATGTTGCGGATGAAAA